AGTTCATGGTAGTATACATTGGACAATTACGGGAAGAATAATGTGAGCTTTTGAGACTTGTATCCAACTGAGAACATGCAAGATGAAACATGGAATGTGACTGTGATAGTAACACGTGATCAAAATGACAGAATCATTGAATGCACGAGTCAGAATACCCTACGGAGAACCTCTATTATCAGACCATCACCACAGCATTATCAGAATAATCATGATAAGATGTGCAATAGGGTAACAAGTCCCCACCTCACTTGTGAGATGCAAGTATCTGATACAAAGGGAACATTATATGAGCTTACATACAGCTTGATTTTAACCATTGGTTAACTTAACCTCTCACTATAAGATCATGTTTTTTAAATCCTACACGTTCTTTTCAAAGCATATTTTAAAGTACAAAGTGACCTTTCACAACCCAGTTATGCATAACTCAAGGTCCTTAAGATGACAGACATTCAACTGTCACCAAAGGTCAACCCAAGGCAGTAGCTCCAAGTTCACTATCTCAAATTAATGAAGATTAGAGATGCAGACTCTCATTGGTATATGAAAAGTAGAAACAAGCTTCTTAAGATTTCTAGAGAAATTAGAACTTGAGGGAAAGTGGGAGAAACTTCCATAAGTGGGAGGGGTTTCTAAGACAGAGCCACTGAACTCTCACCTTGTGATACACAGCGCAGACACAGGAAAAGCAGCAACTTACAAAACACATACAGAGGCAGCAGTGAGACATGAGGGAATCCCAGAGGAACAGAATTCCTGCCATGCACAGCCACATAAGGTGTTTATCGTTAATGTTTCTCTAGAGCAGTGGCTCCCAACCTTCCTAGCACTGCAACCCTTTAATACAGCTCCTCACATTGTGGTGACCCCCGGCCATTAAAATCATTTGTTACTTCAAAACTGCAATTCTGCTACTGTTATTCATTGTAATGTAAATATCGGATATGCAGGATATCTGATATATGACCCCCCCAAGGGGTCGTGACCCACAGGTTGAGAACTGCTGCTCTAGAGACTGTTACTCGGGATCCTCAGACTGGTATGTGACTTCCTTAACCAAGTCAGAAAGAGCAATAACAGCAACAAGAAAACACTAAGATATTAGTTGTCTTTAAATTTTAAAAACCTGGAATCAGATGTACACCTTTAATGCCAACACAGGGAAGGCAGAGGCAGGTGGATGTTCAAAGCCAGCCTGATTTACAAAATGAGTTCCAGGACAGCCAGAGCTACACAGAGAAAACCTGTCTTTAAAAAAGGGAGGGACGGAGGGACGGAGGGAAGGAGGGAGGGGATCTGTTCATGAAAATAAATATAAGTAGGTTAGAGCACAGACCAGAAAGAGTACATACAGAATGGATTCCTACAAGTCAATAGGAAGAAAATTCTGACTTCTATGGGCAGTGATCTGAACAGAAAATCGGGAGGAAGGCCAATACACAGTAAGTGTCCCACGTCATTCATCATCAGGGCAAAGAAAGCCCCAACAAGCATCGACGGGGAATGGTAACATTGAGTGTTGGTGCACCGACCCTTACTAAGGACACAGATCAGCTAGAACACCCACCCAGGAGAAATGGTATAAGCATTTTGAAGAAGCACACAGCAGGTTGTTTTTTCCTTGATTGTTTGTTTTCTGATAAAACCAAACATGGCCCACCACACCTCCTCCTAATTATTTACAAAAAAGGAAAATCATATTTAACAAGAGTTGTGCCGAAATGTCCTTAATTATTTAAAACAACCCAAGTTAGAAATAGCCCCAACATGCACCAGGAGGCTGAGTGTCCTACCGTACAGTGGAGCACTGTGAGGTAACTGAAAACTAAGGAACCACTGATAAACACAGGTACAAATATCTAGGAACCCGCTGCTTCTAAGAAATCTACACGAAAGAGAACCTAGCACATTGTGTTCTTATTACGTCCCATGGGTGTGGCATTAACCGGTTATTAATTCCCTGGGGTCCTTGTGATATTTTTTTTGGTTAGGAATACACAGCCATTGGCATTTGTTTAAACTCAGTTTAAGGCGCAGAGAGATGGGCTCCGCTGCTACAGGGTTTGCTGTGAGAACCGAAGTTTGGATCTCCAGCACCTAGGAAAAGAGCTGCAGTGTCCACACAGGGATCACAGGAGAAGCCCGGAAGCATGCTGGACGGTGTAGCCACGCCAGTGAGGTACAGGTTAAGTGAGAGACCCTAAGATGGGACTAGGGCCGTGGGACAGCTCAGGGGTAAAGGCACTTATTGCCAAGGCTGAGTCTCACTTCCCTCCTGGGTACCCACATGTTAGAAGAGAGCAGATTTGTGGAAATGGTGCTCTGACCTCTACACACACGTCACAGCACTCACAGGCACACACACACACACACACACACACACACACACACACACACACACACACACACACTGAATAAAATGTGGCTTTAAATTAGTAAGGTAGAAAACACCCAGTGCTGACTTCTACCCTCCACACGCAACACCCGCAGAGACTCAGACCCGCGGCGTAATGGGCACTTACAAACTGTGCGTTATATTGTATGCAAACTGTGTTTTTAAATGGACGGTAAGAATGAGCTGTGTTAGCTAACCACAGTTGCACATGCCTGCAATCACAGGACACCAGAGACAAGGATGCGAGGACCTGGGGTTAAGGATAGCCTGCACTACAGCGCAAGATCCCGGCCAGCCTGGACTAGTAAATACTTACTTTAAAAAAAAAGCATCAGTTATTTTAAACGACACGGTGGAATTGTCTTATTAAGAAAAATAAATTCAGCAAATTGCGTTAATGAAGAAACAGTGTGAGTGTTTGCCTTGCTCCGTGGCACCCTCAGTTAGGAAGCAATTCTAGCGGTTTCATTCTAACAAACGCCCTGGCTCTCACTCTCTAACACCCCTCATCATCTTTATCTCCACGGGAGCACACGTCTCCTTTCTCCTCCGCTAGAATGTAAACTCCACGGCAGCAGGAGTCTTCTTGTGCTCTGTATCTTCAGAATCTAGGAGTCTTGACCTAAGCTGGCACTTAGTACTTACTGAATGAGCAAGCTAACATGCCTACGATATGACTTATACCCAGGGCAAACACCATAGAGAGCTTTGTACCAGGGGAAGGAGAGCACTTTTGTTTTTTATTAAAAACAAGGTTTTTTCCATAGGATGAATTCTGATCAGTTTCCCCTCCCTCATCTCCTCCCAAAACCTCCCTACATTACCACTCTTCCAGTGCGTCCTCTTTCTGTCTTTAGACGATAAATAGAAAGAAAAAAAAAAAACAAAGGAAAGAAAGACCACAAGAAAACATACACACACACATACAACTTAAAAACACAAAACCAGAAACCATAGTATACATGCAAAAGATCAGTAAAGGCTAAAAAAAAAAAAATGACCAAAGAAGGCAATATGGGACAAAATAAAATAAAATCTCCCAAAATATCACTGAGTTTGTTTGTGTTGGCGATCCACTCTTGGCATGGAGCCTGCCCTTAAATGTGTTTTGTATGCCCAGTGGGACTCCGCTGGTTAAAACTAAGTTTTCTTTTGCAAGTGGCTGTCCGTGGAGACAGCCTGAGTCAGGGATGTATGTGCTTCCCCTGTCAGCTCCGGGACCCCGTGGCTCAGACCTGCGCAGACCCTCTGCATGCTGCGGGTCTCTGAATCCACGTGTGCGTCAGTCGCGTTCCGTCCGTGCGTCTGTCACGTTCCGTCCATGCGTCTGTCACGTTCCGTCCGTGCGTCTGTCACGTTCTGTCCGTGCGTCTGTCAGTTCCTTGGTGTCCTCCATCCCCTCTGGCTTTCACGCTCTTTCTGCCTCCTCTTCCCAAACACAGGATTCAGTTTCCAACATTCCACTCGCTTGCAACCAACTTGTGACTTAAACGCGGAGTTTACGTTCTAGCGGTGGAGATAAAAATGATGAGGGGTGTTAGGCAGCAACCCTTTATTTTTTCATTAAATACATTTCAATGATAAAAGAAAAGGGGTTTGAGTGAGACAGACGAAGCTGCACACCCAGGTGTCTCCCCACGTCGCTGTCCCCACCTCTTTCCAGGTTGTGCGCACCGGAACGGTACTGGCCAGAGCTCCCACTGAAACCCATGGGCCCCACGAGTCTGCTGGGCCAGTGTGCGGCAGGCCGGGTCACGGCAGGCCGGGTCACGGCCGCCGGGGGCCTGCGTTCTTGCAGCTTTCCTGTGGCTTTCTACTTTTTCCTTTTAAGGCCTACCAGGTCCTGCCATCATTCGGGGTCACCCCTGATGGGACGTGTGAAGTGGGCCTATGGACCACAGTCATGCTCCCTAGTAGTTAAGGAGTGAGGAGATGCTCTCTGCATTACCTGAGCAGATTCGAGGTGCGAAGATTCAAGCCTAACCCACATTTTCCAGTAGAGCTAAGAACGCTGAACTGAGGGGTCCAGGCTATCTGCATGATGAAGTCTGTGCCATGTCCCCTCAGACAGCGGTCACTACGTGTATTACAGAGACAGAGCAACACTCCGAACGCCTTCCTCCAAACAGTACGACAGAAGAGCAAGGTGAACCCCTCTGTGCTAATGTGCTTATTTTAATAAATTTGTTTTTAACACAAATGTAAAACAAGATTCTATTGTAACTACAGCTAAATTCAAACTGCAGAACTGGCCAATAATAACATATACAGATTATCAAATGTATAATACAGAATTCAATTTAGTACTTTCTGTCACAATATTAAAAATAAGCATTTTCTAATACCAAGATTATCAAAATGTCCCAACCCAAATCTTTTTCTTAAGCAGTAAAAGTATAAAACCTGCCAGTGTGCATACCTGTTAAAGGTTAAAATGAAAACTTTCCATCTTGAATGTCATTTAAGTGCTTCTCAGCCAACCAGAAATATCTAGCATAGATGGCAGGTTCCTATTCTGTGGTATAAAATCATACCACAGAATTGTAATGCCATAACAGGACTTTTAACAGTAAATAAAGCAAATAAATCTATCATGTAGTAGTACATTTTCTTGTTTGCTTTTTATTTTGTCAACAAGAAACCAGATTTAATGTTGTATGACCGCATTCAAGTAGTTTACCATGTGAGGTTAGGTTCAGACCAAACGTGCAAAGGCAATTCTCATGAGGGCTGAGCATTTCCACGTGAAAGTAGTTTTCCTTTAAGACAGAACCAGCAATATATGTACATGTCTATGAAACAAAGACGCCCGCATGCCAACTCACAAGAGACAGTGCTCCCTGGGAGAGGCACCAAGGAGAGGTTTTCAGCCATGACAGTGCTTTTGTCAAGTCACTGAGACATGCACCGTTATATTCACAACAACTGAGTCAGGAGAAACATAGGATATGAGAAATCTCTCCAGCTGCTGACATGGAGAAAGGACAGACACAACCCAGGTTCCAAGCACACGATAAAACACAGGGTTACCAACAACAAAACCTCACCCCTAGCCCGGCCTGGTGGCCGGTGCCCGGAAGCACAGCACTGGGGAGGCAGAGGTAGGAGTTTATCTGAGGCCAGCCCAGGGCAGAGTGAGGCTGGTGTTGCAGAAAAAAAAAAAAGATACACACAAATTGTAACCCTGCTCTTCTGAGGAGACAGTAGTTTTCAAAACAAGAGCATGAAAAAACTTCAAACTGAGACTCAAATTAACAGTGTGGTCTCACTGAAAAATAATACTTAAAACTAAAATACATTAAATTTCAGGCATTTTTAATGTGAATAAGGTATAAAAACAAATTTATACACCAAATATACACTATCAGTTTATTTTCAGTTAAAAATTATTTAGGAAAAGTTCTCCATGTTCAAAATTAAATAAGAATTGTCTTCTATATACAAGAATTATACTGGAAATATGAAGTAAAAGTTTAATCTGCAGAATTAAAACACAATTAGAATCATTCAAAAAGTGGAAAAACACTGAATTTTTTAAGTGTGAAAGCCTTAGAATTTTGCAGTAACAAGTGAACTTTTTCTAACATTTAAAAAATTATCCTTTTATCAATATAAAACTATTCAAGTAATTAGGAGAATCTCTTCTACCGCAAAAATAAATTCACATGATCCACTCGTGACTCCAAGAGTTGACAATTAACAGAGCGGTGTCCCTGAAATAAGGCATTTCTTCCCTTTTGTCTCCTCCATCCTTACACACAGGCTTATTTCCCATCACTGACACAGAAAAACCACCACACTCTAAAATAAGCAACGCTCCCTTTCTGCCCCCAAGCACAGGTCAAGCGTCAGTCTTCTTTCTTGGCATGCCTCTTCCCAGAGCCCGCATCCTCTGTGATGCGCTTGGACCCCGACGAGGCAGTGCCATTGGAGGACTGCTTGGCTTCGCGTTTCCTTTCACCCAACGAAAACTGCTGCTGCCAGCCAAACAGCATCCGGCTCAACGTGTCCTCAAAGGGAGCAAGAGTCACAGTGGTGTCCTTTGTTATCATCATGGTTATCTAGGAAAAGTTAACTCAGTTTCAGTACAGACACTCTGTGTTACCATCATGGTATCTAGGAAAAGTTAACTCAGTTTCAGTACAGACACTCTGTGTTTCTCAAACAGAGAAACAAAGAATGGGCAAAGAGAGTCAAATGTGCTTTGTGTTTAATCTACATGAAAAATTCGAGCTCAATTCTGGGGAAATCACTGATTGCTATGGATTTAAAGGATAGTATTCATCAAAAGTATAACCATTGCTACAAAGAGAAAGGGAAGAAGGAGAAGGAGAAGGAGAAGGAGAAGGAGAAGGAGGAGAAGGAGAAGGAGAAGGAGAAGGAGAAGGAGAAGGAGAAGGAGAAGAGGAAGAGGAAGAGGAAGAGGAAGAGGAAGAGGAAGAGGAAGAAGAAGAAGAAGAAGAAGAAGAAGAAGAAGAAGAAGAAGAAGAAGAAGAAGAAGAAGAAGAAGAAGAAGAAGAAGAAGAAGAAGAAGAAGAAGGGGGGAGTTCAAAGGAAATAAGATATACTACTATCTACAGTCTGCACCGGCAACCAATACAGCTGTCATTGCTGTACACCTAGCTTGTGTCAGAGCTGTGACAAATACTTTACACTCATCTCCACTGTCAATTTAATGCAGCAGTCACCGCTGCCTTCACCACAGAGCGGAGCAGAGTCCCAGCTCCGACAGGGAGGTAACTTGCCCCAAACTAAAAGCTGCTTAAGCGGTGAGCAGGGTGCAATGCAGATCTGGGCCAGTCACTGCTTAACAGCGCACTGCTGTGCATGGCTGCAGACGTCAGAAGCTGTGGACTAGTAGTCCCTGAGAGCGGGCACAGAAGGCAAGACACATACACGCAAAATAAGAACAAAATGTAAGCCTATGTGAACTTTACCCAACATACATTCCTATTTCACATGTTTAAAATTAATTACCATTGAGATTAATTAGTAGCAGAAAACATATCATACTTATAATATTACTTTTTACAAACAATGCCAGAAGTCACATATCCCTTGGGGCATGCGAAGCCTAGATCAAACAACACAGACTTGTTCGAAATTGCAAAGCCTCCATTCCAACACAAGTCTGTGAGTCTACAATTCTCAAGGGCTCTCTCCTCTGCTGGTGATCTTTCCCATTTATTTTGCTTCCCTGTGGCTCATATTTAAGCAATCATAAAGTATTTGAGAGAATTATAAAAGTATGTGACTTCCCCTCTAATGAAACTGGTTGAATATGGTTGAATGTTCAGCTTGCCCAAGTTCTGGGAGAAAAGAAGAAAAGGAAATTGCAGGGAATAGACGAAAGAGGAAAAGGAGGAAAAGGGAGACATTTCACACATTTCTCTCAAGTAAGAAGAGAACCATAGGCAGAGGTAGGAAAAAGCTTGTATGTATTGAAACCAGAATGAGCAAGCATATTTGCAAATACAGGTGACTCACTCCACCTCCAAACTTAAGAACATATTACTTTTTACAAAAACAAAGAGGAGCATCAACTTAAACTGTACCCCAATTTTATAAGCAAGGCAGGCCTACTGTACAGCCTCTGGATCCCTCCCTCCCTCCCTACCTCCACTGCTCTCTGGACTCCCACAAGCCACCTGCCTACCCTGTCTAATGGAAACATCTCCAAATGGCAAATGAAGGTGCCCGGACTGGCCTCTGAAAACCCTGCTGCAGAGAGCAGACTCTCCCATGGCACCTTTCACACTCTTACCTTTATGGTCACCAGAAACATGGTGTAAAGGAACATGAGATCATGCTTCGACATGGCCAGATGATTGGTGTGCTGTAAAGTGAAGATGATTGACCCCAGCAGGGTTACCTTGGCAGGGCTGAAAGGAGATAACACTCGAAGTCAGTGACAAACATTCTCTGCCTACAACTTCTCAGAGTGCTCCGTAAGCATCAACTTAGTGGACTGTTAACACAAAATGAGCTGGGTGAACATATTTTTAAAGTTTCAGAAATGCTGAACTGAGGGGACCTGAGATGAGGAAATGCCTCCTTGAGATCCAGCTGGAGGGCGTTTTTCTCAATTAGTGATTGAGGGAGGAGGGCCCAGCCCCTGTGGGTGATGCCATTCGGGGAAGGGTGGTCCTGGGTTCTGTAAGAAAGCGGGCTGAACAAGCAGGAGAAGCAAGCATGAGGAGCGCCCTCCACGGCTCTGCATCAGCTCCTGCCTTCAGGTTCCTGCCCTGCTGAGCCCCTGTCCTGACTGCCTTGGATGACCAGTACTGCGGAAGTGCAAACCAAATAAACTCTTTCCTCCCGCAAGTTTGCTTGGTCATAGTGTCTCATTAGCAATAATAGCCCTAACTAAGATAAGCAGCAAGCGTTCTTGACCACTGAGCTAAGCCTTCCGGTCCAAGACTTTTTAGAATGTGCAAATGTTTCCATAGTGCAATGTTTCAGAAACATATTTGTCCATCTAACACTTTTTTTAAAGGACTGGAAGGTTTCGTGTCCCACCACAAATCTAAAATTAATCCTGAAAAGCCATCCGTGATAAAGAAGCCCCCAAGACAGATGAGAGGTGGGGGAAAGCCTTTCCTGTCCCATGATGTAGGTGCTAAAATAGCTCATTAAGGAAAGGGCTTTGACATACACATGGACCATTTGGGGTTATGTTTTCTTAAAGAGTGACTCTGAAAAATAAGCAGTTTGTAGATAATTAGGAAAGGACATTAGAGAAGATTTAAGGAAAATTTAAATCAAAGTATTAGATTTGTTATGAAGGCTGAGAAGCACTGGAAAATTCTACCATGTCTCATTCCAAAACACAATGGTGGGACGGATGCTTCCAAAAGGGAAAGAAGATCCCTGGCACCAAGACATTTCAAAATCCAGCAGGAAAGTGAAGCTCCCCCGGGGTCTCAGGGCCATGGCTGCAGGGGCCAGGCTCTAACCTCATACAACATGGCCCTGGCGTCTGCCCTTCAACTGCAGCCTGTGAGCCGGGCCCATCATGCTGCCCACTCCATCCTCAACACTACGCTTCCCTTTCCTGGGTCTCCTTCCTAGTTTCAGGACTTACTTATTCCCCGCTCACACTCGCACACCACACACACAAGTGCACTTTGTACGTCCACGTAGGTGCTGTTGTTATGATATGCATGGGTGCTTTGCATGTGCGTATTTACTGTGTGTCATGCGTGCCTGGTGTCTACAGGGGCCAGAAGAGGACATCAGATCCATTGGAACTCAAGTTACAAAACATCTTGAGATGTCACATGGGTGCCAGGAACTGAACCTGGGTCCTATGTCAGAGCAGCACATGATCGTAGCCACTGGGACAGCTCTCCAGCTCCAAGCCGTCTTTATAAAGTGATCTTAGCCACTGGGACAGCTCTCCAGCTCCAAGCCGTCTTTATAAAGTGATCTTAGCCACTGGGACAGCTCTCCAGCTCCAAGCCGTCTTTATAAAGGAGGGGAATCCACAGAGAGCTGATGTTTACTTTAAATCTCATCTGGGAAATGATGCTCAGAATCAGTCTCCTGGTTTTCTTCCCACTGTGCTTGCCTTGGTTTCTCGGGTATGTCTCAGCCACACACACAGTTCCGAACACGCTCTTTGCAAGGAATCTAAGGCTGTAAGCCCAGACCTCAGCGTAATCTAGACCACTTACAAGGACAGCTTCAGCCACTCATTGCCTTCTGGTTTCCAATCTCCTTTTAGCAACTCTTCACAAGATGTGACAATAACACCACCTGCTCCTAAAAAAAGAAAGAAAGAAAGAAAAATACTGAACCAATTTTCTTTAAAAAAAAAAAAATACATGTCAGGGGAAGTCAGAATTTCCCCTCCTGGTTTAAAACCCGGGATTACCAAAATAGGATTCCTGAGAGGAAGAAAACGTTGTCTTCTTGTCCTGAGACCTGAGACAATGGCGTTCTCTCTCCCCAGCATGACATCACCTACCTGTCTTACTGCAATCTAAGGTTAACGCTGGGATCTCGAGCACAGAGATATATGTATAGAATTACTTTGTGAAAAGTAAGATCCTCTCTTTCTAGTTCTTCCCTTGCTATGGTTAGTTTTAGGTGCAGCATACTATGACAGAGGTTACAGAAATCTGTTCAATTCTTACATAGAAAACAGCAGGGTTAGAGTTAGAGGCATAGCTCAGCTGGTAGGAGCACCTGCCTCCCATGCACCAATCCCCGACAGTGCATAAACCAGCTTTCCTGTGATCCAACACTCAGGAGGGGAGGCAGTATGGTCACAAGTTCAAGGTCATCCTCAACTACATAGTCTACCTAGTCTAGAGAGAGAGAGTGAAATAAATATAAAACAATTAGAACAGTGTGAATATGAATATTTGCTGTTTCCAACAACTCACAAGAATGGAAAGAATATAAAGTAATTTGTTTTTATTTTTGGACAGGGTCTTTCTGTGTAGCCTACACTGGCCTAGAAATGACTGTATAGGTCAACCTGGCTTCAGACTTGTGACCTCTGACCTCAGCCCCCCAGGTACTAAGATTATAGGTGAGCATCACCATGCCCAGCCTCAGCAATGATTTTTAATTTATATAAGCCACAAAATGTCTTATTAAACTTATTTCATCTATGGTAAAATAATTAATTATGATTCCATATGGTCCAGGGAAACCTAAAGCAATTATTCGTAAGAAACCTTACAAGACCATCAGGTTCAAAACAATAGGTGATCACTAATATTGATGTAATTAACTTTTAAATTAACTTTAGTGGCTAAAAAGACAAGGATTCTACTCTCCAAAGAGTGTGACCCCAAAAGCCTGTGACCTTGTGAGCAGAGAGTTATTCGGGGGTTATGGTGCATCAATAACAGGACACGTATGAACATTAACCTTACCTCGGGCCCATCCAACAGCTATCATGACGATCCAGCCATTTCTGTAGTAGCTGTTAGCATGTGTGACTCCACTCACTATTTTCCAAGTTCTGGTCACTTCCTTCATTCCCGCAGCCAGGAGTTGAATAGGTAGATATGAATAGCCCTGGGAAACTAGGTCACGCGGGCAAAAAAATACAATATACCTGAAATTAAAATTTAATATTTCAATATGTAAATAATACCAGAAGAACACAAGCGAAAATCTAAACCATCATCACTAAAAACTTGGCGTAACACAAAAAGTGCAACTATCCACAGAACCCTGGAACACGATTTCAAAGAAAAGCAGATTGGACACCAAGTTGTTTCTTAACTCACACAAATCATACATAATCTGTCTGTGTCATGATGAGGGAAAGGACTCATCCACTGTGCAATACTTCACACAGTTCCTAATTTACCCATACAGTTTTAGAACAATAGGTACATAATGTATTAAAGAAAGGAGTAAGTGCATCGTCAGTTCCAGCAGGTATGGGCGATGACCATTTAGTGTCTTTGTTCTTAGGGAAAAGGAGTTAGACAAGGAGCCTTTTGGTAAATGAACAAAGGTTGCATTTCAGCTCCTACTAACATCTTTTGTTTTTTGTTTGTTTTTGTTTTACAAGACAGGGTTTCTCTGTGAAACTGTCCTGGTTGTCCTGGAACTCACTCTGTGGACCAGGCTCACCTCAAATTCAGAGGGATCCCCGTCTCTTACTCCCAAGTGCTGGGAATAAAGGCGTGTGCCACCACCACCCAGCTCAGCTCCAACGAACATCTTGACCTGTGTCCCCTAGGTTAAGGCATAAGCTGGAATCTTACAAAGATAGAGACAGCTCACAGGGAAATGGGCTTATGTCACAGAAAATGTGTTTCATGCAGCTGTAAGAATATAAAGCTCAAGTTTTAATTTGGCTGAGTAAGCTGTTTTAGTCAACGAGAATACATCACCCATTCTCTGGTGAGTCACAGTTTTAAACTTCATTTGCTCTCCGGATCTTCTCAAATGCTATCAGCAGTGTTTACTAGAAACTCCGCTGCCTTTCCTTCATTCCTAACAGACAGCTCGGTGCATTTGCATCAGATCTTCTTCCAATGGGTGATACAGAACACACAGAGGGAAACAGTTCTGGGGCTCTTTTCAAAGCAAGAGTTAACTTTATTCCAATGCTTCAGTCATAAACTCAAAACCGAAGCGTGTTCACAGAATATGAATTATTTGTCAACACACTGCTCCGGAAACCTAACACAAGAAGCAATGGCTCCATCAGCGTCCACATTTCCTTCTTCTTCTTCAAACGCTGCTGTATCCACGGCCCCTGGAAAGTCTGTCTCATTTCTCCCAGCTCATACCAGCAATGTTACGCCTCAAAATGGCTCTTTCTGCATTGTTCTCTTCAATATAAGGTAAAGGCTCTAGTACTCATAAGTGGATCACACTGTGTCTGGATGACAGGACTCCTGCATCTTATCACTGTCCTCCAACCACAAACCCACACGAGGACAAACGCTCTGAACTGTCCATTATCATTCAGTCTAGAGGTAAGATACACAACACATCAAAGACTCGCTTGGTAATTAGAGTCTTGAAGAAAGAAATGAAGTATCTGGTGACAATTTTACAGTTTCAAAACCTGACATGGACATATAATCTTTTCAAAGCCTTTAAATGTAGAAGTGATTTACAGGAAGTTAGACAATGGACAGAAGAGGCAGATACACCTAAGTAATAAATTATATATATATATATATATATATATATATATATATTCTTAGTGAAAACAAACAATACTTTGGTATCTGTTAGAGATTAGATTAAGAACAGACACTGTGGTTTTATTTCAGCAGTAATTCATGCTTTAAAAGAACATACTCAACAGAACAAAAACCATATGGCAATGGCTACTTGAATTTCCTAGTTCTATTTTTAATGTGTTAAAACCTATTACTCCAACAGCTATTTTGAACTTTTTACATTCAACTACATGACACTATAACATATAGTCTATAATTTATAATTATTGCTACTTCTGAATTCTAAGTTGTATCCTATTTTTCTAAAACAGCTACAACAATTTCTCATATTAACAAAAGCCCTGCGCCCACTTGAGTTGCTATGGAGTGAAGGGAACAGCTCATTGTTATGCTCAACAGACTTAGAAACAGCATGGCAGACAAATGACCTAAGTTCACTATGCAATGTTCCTCTGATGACCCAAGGACCAATGGTCACTCATCAAACAGTAGGTCTCTTCTGTAAAGATTGTAATTTCTCCTTAAGTTTGTAACATCTAAAATAACTTTACCTTGCAAGCGCCTAAAGAAAATATAAAGGAAAGAGAAAAGAAATGGAATGAGAAGATGAAATGGATTCCTCAAATGCCTTTAAGCCATATAGGCCAGATTAATGGAAAGAGAAAAACGACAAAGAGAAGTTAGTCTAAAACAGGATACAGATGTAAACTGAGCCACTTTAAACAGGTTTTAGATGGGAGCACAGTGTAGGTTACAAAGGCTGAGCAGAGAGGGGGGCTAATCATTACAAACACTACTCTCAATTCTCCTTTCCCACCCCTTCACTGAGCCAAACACCACAAGCTACAGCCAGGTTAGTCTAGTGCAGGAGCTCTGCTCTACTCTGCAGTAAGCACCAACCAGTCAGGAATTTGACTGATACGTCTTGAAAATGACTATAAAACTATGACTCATATATCACCTCATCTAAATGTAATCTCTCTACAGTATCTTGGAAGTCTGAGAAAAACATTCTGAAACATAAAATCAATGCATAGAAAATTATGAAGTATGTACCTCCCCATTAATAGACCTTTAAAAAGAGAACTTTAATGAAAGTATATGCTGTGTTCCGACAGTGGCTATACAATACACTGGCAGAACCAAGTTCATGTTTGTCTTTTCCAGTAGATGGCGCTAACCTCCAGACGTGTGCACTGAAGCGCTTTGGGGCTAAAGATAACCTTGCTGTGATTCCACAAGTCATTTGACTCAGAAGAAGCAAAGACAAAAGCGTTATTCGAAATGTTAAAAGTTCTATTATTAAAACAATAAAATATACTGTCTGCAATACAGCATCATTTTCATATTTAGAAATGGTAAGGACAACATTCCTTTTTCCAGAGTTCAAAGCAATTCACTGCTCATGCACCAGTGTAAAGATGAAATCCAGGCCCCAGCTACCCAGTATCTCTGATACCCGGGACAAGTCATCAGTCTCTCCACACCTGAGCGTCGTGATCAGTAGAGGACCTGTCTTACAGCGTCAAGAGACCAGCTGTAAGAACTAGTGATGTGCACCAAGCACACACTGAGCAGTAAGACGGAATGACAGCTAAGTCAGGGAAGATGCGTACCAGCCATGGAACTACGACAGTGTGACACACACCCTTGTTTTAAAGATGGATCAGATTAAACGTACAAGAGCAAAGAACAGGGTAAAATGAACTAGCAGTGTCAGAATATTCTAATTGTGCTATATCCTTTGTCCAATAAAAACCAGAATTCTTTGTATGTAGGTATTACATATGTAACAGAGACAAGATAAACAAGAACTCCATAGCACTGAACTTGAATTAGGAATACGTATCAATATGGACGAGTCATTTTCTCTTTCTTTGTCCTAGCTCGGTCCCGTGGATGCCCTGGCAGCAGCTTTAATGCTCGGACTGAGGCTCGGAAAAGCTGTTTCTCACTAAAAGACACTAAGACTAATCCCAAAAGAAAACTGTGAGAGTCTTATGACACCGAGGGGCAAGGAAGCTAATCCCGGGCTGGGGGGGGCACCTCTGAAAAGTCTCTCACTGGCCAAACAGGGGACAGCTAGCCTGAAATAGTGACAAAAATTGAAATCTGTAGAATCTCACAAAACATACTTTTAAAAAGTTGATCACCTTTGTAGGTTGACCAGCAAGTAAAAGAGCCAAGCAGCAGCCCTGCTTTTCCATGAGTAGTGAACCAAAACCCGGGCAAGTCAGAAGTGTGTTTCCACACACCTGTATGTGTGTGCTGAAAAATACACTCCTCCATTCTCCACTTCTAACGTGCCTTTTAAATGCAAAGGCACACGTTTATAGGCATGAAACTGTATTCCATGTTCTGACTCGACTAATCCCAATCTGTAGTCCCTTGCTACTCAAACCTCAATACACAGCCATCGTTCTTTCGTAAATCACCTCCCGAGTCTCAGCGGTACTTGGTGTCACAGCTAACAAGGTGAAGCTTCTGCTCTGATAGGGATTTTCCAGAAGTGAGACAAAGCCAGGTTTTTAAAAGGCCAGCTGATGACACCTCCAATGTTAGCGAATCTGAGAAGAAAACTCGAGGGTGATCTGATAGTCACAGACAGCTTCTGTGAGGAAAGACAGCAGTGCCTGTTTGGGGCTGGAGATGAAGCAAGAACAGAGTCACAGAGAGAGAGAGTGCCTCGTGTGTGCAAACGGCAGGCTCAGTGTGGCGAGACTGGGTCAGAGGAACGGAGCAAAGAGAACAGAGAGGAGACTCTGTAGGGATGATGGGTCATGGGAAAATTCAGGGTTTTCTTCCTAATTGCTGCACACATACTATAACATATTTTAAGATGATCACTTGATCATTATGTAAAGAATAGATTTGGGGGACAATAAAAGAAGAGACTAACTATCCCGTGTAGGAAATTATTGAAAGTCCAGGCCCAGACACGGAAGGATCCGTATGTAAGACTAGAAACAGGAAAGATAGAAACACAGAGTCAGGCTGCCTTACCTCTTACATAGTCTCAGCATTTAAACTTTTAAAATCCAAAATGTAAGTATCCTTTTTAAATGATACGGAAGTGGAAGTCCTTTGGAGGTGTCTTTAGAAGGTGACACAGTGAGCGGGCTGAGCAGCTGTCGCGAGTGGAGGCTCTGCGGTCACACTGTTCTGATTCTCGCCCTGACACCCGGCCAGATATGACAGTCACATCGACTGCCCCACGTCTCAGTCCCCTTGCCACCAAACAGAAGTACCAACAGCTACCTCGGGTAGGATGGCGAGCAGAACTTATTTAATGCAAAAATGGAAGGTGGAATACTGGGGTCTGAAGGATAACGCGAGAGGTCCAGGGCGGGGAAGGATGGGGAGTCAGCTGAAACTACTGAAGGATAATGCAGGAGGTCCAGGGGGTGGGAAGGATGGGGAGTCAGCCGAAACTAAGGAAACTTGATAAATGTGTGCTGTTTTTTTTTAAAGGGGCTGAAGAGATAGCTCGGCAGTTAAGAACAGTGGCTGCTCTTGAAAAAGGCCTAGGTTCAATTTCCAGCACACACATGGTAGCTCACAGCTCTATGTTAGCTCCAGAGTATCCCGATGCTCGATGCACCAGGCATACACATACATTCAAGCAAAATGCCCAAACACATAAAATAAAAATAAATAAATCTTTAAAAACCTAATTACAATAGCTACTTCACAGAACTCATCGTAAGTATGAAAATAATTTATCTAATATTTGATATTAATTCAATACATACTAGCTATCAAAATGAATAATTCCATGCCACCTACTTTCCACAGCTGAAAAATATAAACTATTAAAAAAGGGAGAGTGATGTCTTTACTGAAAGCAAGCAGCGCTTTCAGTAAAGCCACTGAAAGACTTTCCTGGTTGAGTTTAAATATATTCTCTTCCTTCTCACTTGATAGTCATGATCTTAGATACCAGCTTAGGAGAGAACTGGTTTGCAATCATTGTGAGTAAAGTATCCTAATTCCACATACCAGTAAACGTGGGATCCTGTTCATATGGAGACGGTTGTCCTGCAGAATAACTCTGCACTCAGTCATTCCATACCTGATTAGATAGCTTACATATCTATTGGATATTTCAAATAGCAATACATGAATTCATAATTTAGCCACAGATTAGAGAGACGAAACATAGTGTTTCATAGTATTTAAGTAATTTTTTCTCTTAATGTCACCAGTAAAAGATTTTGTCAGGAAGAGATAATTATAATAGCTCAGGACTCATGATTGAATATATGAATTTTACCTGCTATAGAACACTAATTCAATAATTACTAGCAAGAGAGTGACTCCGCCCCACCAACCTTCCAGCACAGGCGCCCATCACATCGCTGCTATTTAGCATATCCCTGTTTATGAGTGCTTAATAGTTTTTAAGTTACTATAATACACGAATTTTCAATTATTTATTATTGGCTGTGTGTAAGATGGGGGTGGGCTGCGTACCACAATGGACATGTGGAGATCAAGAGGGCTACTTTGTGCAGCTGAATTTCCTTCTGCCTTCATGTGGGTGCTGGGGCTAGAACTCACACTGCCAGGCTTACGTGGCAAGCTCCTTTACCCACTGAGCCCTCTCACCAGTCCCAGTAAAAGCAAATCCTAAACTGTGTGGTGGTGGTGTACATCTTTAATCCCAGATCTTGGGAGGCAAAGACAGGTGGATCTCTATGAGTTTCGAGGACAGCCTGGTCTACATACTGAGTTTCAGGGAAGCCAGGGCTACACAATGAGAATTTGAATCAATCAATATATCAATCTATCAACAAACAAACAAATAAGTAACCAATCCAACAAAGAGGAAGACAAGAAAAACTATAGATAAGCCATAATCATTTGGATTGTAGTAAAATTGCTCTTTTTCCTTTAAGGTTTTTTATATCCTTAAGTTAGTGCATGTGAAGTGAATGACAATCTAGAAAATTCTTAAAATGCCTCATAGTGCAAGGGCAACTTACCAGATTGAAGAAGCCAGTAAAATATTAGTGTGGTTTGTAAGAAACTTCAATGGAGGCTCTGCAAGCAGCATGCAGGATAAAATCCCTCCACCAAAGCAGTGGAGCATGGCGCTCAACCAGCTGGACAGGGGGTTATTCCATGCCACTGCCGCTGCCCCTGAAATGACAGTCAAAACGTGCTCTGAGACAGCTGTATACTTACTTACAAGAAAGCTCCACGGACCCACTGTCCTAGAGAAATAACCCGCATTTGTAATGTCTAACACATACTCGTGGGTGTGCTGATCACGACCACTTAAAGAGTATTCTTTCTAAGTCAGTGGCTTTATTTGCATGGGTGTGGGGTGGTAGGGGAATGTGGGTGTGGGTGCACGTATACGTGGGCATGTTGGGGGCCATTCTCCAGCGCAGGCACACGGCGGCCTGACACTGACGTCAGCACCGCTCCCCTCGGTCATGTCTCCACATTGTTTTTGCAGCAGGGACTCTCCTGGGCCTGTAGCCAGCCTTTCAGTTAGACTGACCGGCCAGCGAGCCCCCAGATCTGCCGTCTCCAACCCCCAGTGCCGGGTTACAGGCAAGAGCTGCTCTGCTTGGCTTTCACTTGGCTATAGAGCTCCCAAGTGACATCTCCATGCTCGTGCACAAGCACTTCACTCAAAACAGTTTTTTAAGAAAAAGGTGGGTGGGGAGAAAAGTAAGGGAAGGCACACGATCTATGTGTGTGGCTGATGGTGACTTTGCTTATTCAGCACTCATGGAAGCTAGCCACTGACGAGGCATCTTCCTATATTGCTCTAGACCTTTTAGGTTTTTGTAGGCAAGACGCTGCGTAATCTTGGCTGGCCTAGAACCCTTTATGTCCACAAGGCTAGTGTCCTACTAGAGACTGGAGATCCACCTGCCTCGACGTCCTGAATGCTTGAAAAGACCACTATGCCTGGGTCCCTACCTTATGTTTAAGACAGGGCCACTAACTGAATCTGGAGCTCACTAATTTACTATATTGGCTGGTAAGCAAAGGCCTAAGACCTATCTGTCTCCATATATTCCCATACTCCATATACTGCAGGAACACTCAGCCCCACACCGGCTTTAATGAGGGCTGGGGATATGAACTTGGGTCTTCATGCTTGCACAGCAAGCACCCTACCAACTAAGCCATTTCCCGGCCCTACAAGTATTTTTTAATGATTGATTTTGACATCTTTAAAACACTATCCAAGTTTTTCTTGCCAGTTTCCTAGTAATAGATGTTTTACTTTAAAAGATTCCCACTTAGCATTTCTTTTCATGCCAAATCTTATTGTAAGCACTCCTAGGCAATGTGGCAAAGGAATCTGTTATGAAAGGTCGGCCACTGAGACGGCTAAACAGGCAAAGACACTTGCTGCCAAGTCTGACGAACTAAGTTTGATCCTAGGACAGACATGGTGGAAGGAGAGAACCAAATCCCACAAGTTGTCCTCTGACCACCACACAGGCACGTATACACACACACACACACACACACACACACACTCACACACACACTCACAAATACACTCATACTCACACATGCACACACACATACACACGGTGTGATTGATTTTTTTTAAAAAGAAAAGTTGGACTGGTCAGATGGCTCAGGGGGTAAGGAGCTTGTCCAAGTCTGATAACCTGAGTTCCACCCCCAGAGCCCATGTGGTGGTGTCAGGAGAGACTCCCACAAAGCTGTCCCGATCTCCACACATGTACTGTAGCACCCTACCACACCAATAATGAAGCAAAGGTGGGGTGTTTTGTTGTTTTGAAGAAAGGTTTATAACCTTAAGGACTTTGGAAAGCATAAGAGGCTACAGTAAATAAACTAAGCCTTCAGTAAATCAGGCTGGAAACAGAGGAACAAACGCAAAGGTAAAGATAATGGTCAGGGCTAGAGAGAGCCAAGTGGTTAAGAGCACAACAGCT